GGCCTTGAGATATCATCTTTGAACTGACCAGCCCCCCAGGTAAATCCAGAGTTGTTTTCACTCATCAGATTCCATTGGAATTCGAACTGAGGACTGCATTTCATCAGTGCGGAGGTGTACTAAGTACTACTAACCGAGCGAGGCCAGTTGGTTCTGGCTTTCTTTCGGGTTAGGGGTTTTTTTGGGGGGGAGGGGGGTTCTTTTTGGTGAATTGGTGTACCGATTTGTCTAGGCTCTCGTTGGTGACCATACAGTACAGGAACTTTCGTGAGGTGTGAGGATCCTCATGTCGTTGAGGACCTGTTTTTTCTTAATTGTTGTTGTTGTTTTCTTTTGTTTTTTTTTGTTTTTTTGTTTTTTTTTGAAACTTTCGTAAGCACTTTTGAAACGCATCCTTGCGCCATGATCGTGAACCTCACGATCTCCGTCTTGGTTATTTTTTTCTTTTTATTTTCGAGTTTCAAGAGTCCTCCGCCCGGCCCGGCCCGGCCCTGGACAAACCCTCTGGCGTTCTACTGTTGACCCGAGGTTGGGACCTTCCAAGGGTTTTCTCTTTTTTTTTTTTTTTTTTAAAACGCGACCGCCTTTAAATATCATTCTGATTCATTGGACTGACCGGGCCCAGGCAATTCAGAATGATTTTATCGTCTTCATCTGAAGGTATTTGGATTCGAACTTCGAGGGCTCCGTATTTCCACAGTGCAGGCCCTGCAGGGTTGTACCAACTGAACTCTCGGCTCGGTTGGTTGACGTTTAAGGGTTTGGTCCGTGCCTCTGGAGTCTGGGCTCTTCTGTCCTTACGCAGCAACCTCTCGAGAGCGAGCTGTTAGAGAGAGAGGTGGTGTGGAGAAGGGAGGAAATGTCACAAAGGGCTCGATGCCAGTAATAGGGGCACTGCCGAAGGAGGAGGAGGAGGAGGAGGAGGAAGAGGAGGAGGAGGAGGAGGAGGAGGAAGAGGAGGAGGAGGAGGAGCGGACCCACGTGAGCAAAAAAGGAGTGGATTGAACACGTGAAATCGCGATTCGCTGCACCTGTCCAGGAAAAAACGTCCAGACTCGTGCGTTGAATCCAAAAAAAAAAATTAATAATAAAAGAAAGAAAAATCGAATCCGTTTTACAAGTGGGACCTCGGCCTGGTATCCGTGTCTAACGCTGATCGGAGGGCATACTCACACAGGTAGGATTCTTTTACTTATTTACGGACGTCATCACTGTCAGATGCATCCAGGGGCTAGGTCCCACTCGCACGAATTAAGAGATACTGACCGTAGATAACAAAGATCAACGGCCCAAATCTCCTGATTAGCGCAAGTGCGACCTTGTTCCAGTTCTGGCCGTATTTACAGTCGGATGCTTTTTGGGAAGTGCTAGGGTGAGTACGCCCTGAATTATGAAACGCAGAAGGTCAAAGAAAGGAAAACAGAAAATGGGATAGGGTGTTGTAAAATAAAAAAAAAGAAAAAAAAAAAAGAAAAGAAAAAGGCAGAAGGCTGAGCAGACTCAGCGGAGTGGGCTCGGAACGAAGTTACGGTATTAGGGCCTCGCCACACCACAGTGACTGTCGAAGGTACGACTGCATGCATGTTCGCGACAGGGATGGCCAGATGCATCCGTTACCAAGTATAACAACGAATGCATCTTGCCACTTTCTGAGGAAGATACATTCATTCCCTTTTCGACAGTGGTGTGGCGAGGCGCTTAGAGTTCAACTGGTTCAACTGGATGAAGGAAAAACATGCTCGTCCGTACTGGATGTCCGCGACGGTCCATGTTTCCAAAAATAGAAATTGGTTTTGACTCTTTAGAGCATACAGTGGAAGAGTGGAGGATCGTCCCAAATCAAAATTATGTTTATGTATTATATGTCATATATATATCCGACGAAACAGTTTGTCACAGCCCCTCGTTTGTTGTCCTCTTCTCTCTCTCTGCCTACGGTTTACCGGGCAGTTCTGTTTGTGACGATATATATAAAAAGAGAAAAAAAGAAAAAGAAAATAAGGAAAAAGAAAAAATATGTTGATCTGTGGGATGTGTTCTTTGCTTTGTGGCAATTGGATTACCTGTGGGATGTGTCATTGTCATTTGCTTTGTTTGACTGATAGGCTTTCTTTCCCTGTCAGCTTTGGTTTCCTCCTCCTTTTCTTTACCTCGTTTTTGCCTTTTGGCTGCGTGCAAGTGGATCCTTGTGACACACGGGGATGGGGGCAGCCAGCGCTCAACCTGTCATCCACGTGGGTGGCCTTGTACGTAAGAGGTGACGAACAGGTGGGGCTTTCCTTCTTTACTTCTTTTCCTTTTCTTGTTTTGTCTTTTTCCGCCTTGGCGCTCTGATTTACAGTGTGACAATATAGTCATCTTGGATTCGTTTGCCCCCTGTTCTGTAATGTTTGGCTGTTCCCTTCCTCTTTTCTTTGCCTCTTCGCCTTTTGGCTGTGTGCTAGTGGGTCGATATGACACAGGGGGGTGGGGGCAGCCGCCGCTCAACCTACATCCACGTGGGCGGCCTTGTACGCAAGAGGTTCTGAACAGGGGGAGTTGTAAGGAAGAAGATTAAAAACGAATTTAAGGTTTTTTTTTTCGCTTTGGCGCTCTGATATTATGTGACAATATTATATATAGAGTCAAACAGAGCTGCCCGGTAAACCGTAGGCAGAGGGAGGGAGAAGAGGAGAACAAACGAGGGGTTGTGACAAACTGTTTCGCATATATATAATTGCGCGTGGGGGGCGGAGGGGGGCAAGGTTTAGTTCCTTAGAGCATACAGAGGAAGAGAGGACTATCGTTCAAAAATGAAAATTGGTAGACTACGAAGAGCATAGAGAGGAAGAGGACTATCGTGCCTAATCACAACGTATATGACTTCTTCAGTTAAATAAACGCGTATGGAAAGTGACAAAACGGACAGGACGCTCCAAACAGGTCTGCAAGCAAATGCACTCTCACAAGCACTCAGCTGGCTTATCACGAAGGTCTCCCGTGACAGTCTGGCGGGGCTCGACCGTGCATCGTGGGGTGTACGTGCGTGTGTGGAGAGCATGCACAAGAGAGACAGAGAGAGACAGAGAGAGACAGAGAGAGACAGGGAGATGCTGTTTGTGCGGGCATGCATGCCGTGTGTGTGCTGTCATGGTCGCTATACACAACTGCACATAGAAGCCATAACTGTGCCATACTGTTTCGTCGGACTTTGATGTGTGTGTGTGTGTGTGTGTGCGTGCGTGCGTGCGCACTCTTTCACAGTACGCACAGGGTGCGCTAACTAACGGTTGAGCGTGGTGGAGTTCCAGGAGGGTGGTCTTGGTGGCACTGCGACTAAGGCTTGTCATTCTGGGTTCCGTTGGGGGGAGAGTTGGTACACGTACTACACGATGAACGTATGTGCAGTTCGATGCGATTCAACAGGAAATTGGTGGTGATTTGAGCGAGGGAGAGCGAGTGGTGGGTGTTGTATGTATGTCGTGACTTCGTCGTCCGAATCGTTCCGATCGGAGAAGCACATCGACAGAGAGACAAAGACACTCTTCCCCGTCGAAGTTGCTGTATGAGGATGGGCCACAGCCTTGGCATGCTGAAAAGTATTGGGCCTATATTTAGTATTGGACCTTTAGTGTTGGGCCTAAAGAATTAGCCATAGTGTTTATGCATGCGTTGTACCGCGAGGCTGGAGCGTCAGATACATGTAGAATGTTGGCCGATGGAGCCGCAAGCCCTGAATCGTACCCGCGGCCGAAAGTCGTATAGGGCCTCGCTCCTCTGCACACCATTCTAGGGCCAGACCGAACGTATTTGGTCTGGCGACTGGACCAAATACGTTCGGTCTGGTCCAGCTGTATTTGGAGTGCATGATGTTCTGACACATCCAAAATGCTGGACCAGACAGAACGTATTTGGTCCAAGCGGCAGTCCAGATACACGTACAATGGTGGTTAGAGGAGCGAGGCTCGAAGAGTGTGAATGTTCGTCCTGAAGCACGGACTAGACCGTCTTCACCTCAATACATCATCACACGGTCATTGTCGCTGTATCTAGACTTTAAGCTGGCCCAAATGCAGCTGTTATGACCGACGTGCCTTTTCTTTCTTTTCCTCTTCTTTTTTCTTCTCGTTGGGAGGGCATGAAGAACAGACATAACCTGACTGGTGAGAATATCCGTGAGCAAAATAATAACACGTTGCGAACGCACCTGGTCTGACCGCACGGTCAGGTTGCACGCAAGTTGCACGTTCTGTAGCCCAGCGGGCGATTTCTGTCGTTTTTCCTCGTCTGCGTTGATCCGAAGTTTCTTGCCCCCCGCCGCCCCCCCCCCCGCACTCCCCGTTCCTCCCCCGCTGTCTCTCCGCTGTGCCTTACGGCGGGACCGTCAAAGTTTATGAATGATGTCGTAACGATGACGGGTGTTCGCATAGTCAGACTCTGAGCGTGGTCGATCTAGCACCATCTTAAACGAATTTGATCGAAATTACGACCAGATCTGGATCGATTGGACCGCAATTACGTCCAGAAACCTGTAGAGAAGTCGCTAGTACACGAATTTTATAGCAATTACGACCGGATCTGGATGCATCGGACCGCAATTACGTCCAGAA